AAAATAAAATAAATCGACCGTGCAATACTTTTGTCCACAATTTTGGTTAGTAAAATAATGTGGTACATAATCATAATTTTTTTGTATTTTTCCGATAACCTCTATTAAAAGTTTTCCCGGTCCATCAATCAAACATATCTCATTTTTAAATTAATATTATTAACGGGCCAAATTTATAGTCCCCATGAACTAAATTTTAAGTAATCTATCATCTTGGGATTATCTATTCATCTCTTGATCTCTCGTTGTGTAATCATCTTCATCTTTTAATCAAACATCTAAAGATTGCGCCAAATGTTAAAAAAAATATATAAATATCCTTTACCTATAACATAACCAAGTTATCTATCACAATGAGCACCACCTATGAAATTTCAGAAGAGGCAGTTCCCGATGTTCCTTTAGTATTCGTCTCAAATCAATATTTGGACGAGCTTACAAGTAATATACGCTCACGTCCAATCCCTTGGGATGTAAGTATTATGGATTTCTTTTTCTTTTAAATTTCTTATCTGACACCTTTTCTACTCTATTATTTTTAGGGATATCAAAAAGCCACCCTTATTACGCAAGAAGAACTTGATCTTTTGAAAAAAGTTGATAAACAAAGTCTTGAACAATTAAAAGTGGTGATGCAAAAGGTATTATTTTTTGCAATGCTTCTAAACACAGTATTACTGAATACTTATTTAATTCTTTCTTGTTATTAGGATGCAGAAAAATATGCAGATTTATACACAAATCTCTTGGAAAAATTAAGTCGAATTGATACAGTTCAATATATATTGGTACTAGTTAGTGAGATGTTATCAGGTTAGATTCATTTATATATATATTTTTTTTTTGTTAGATATTAAGTTTTTAATAATTTAAATACATAAACTTAGATGAGGAACAACGTGTCCAATATTTCCATAAAGTTTCTGAAAAGGATGCTGAACTTCCTTTTCGCATCTTTCTAAAGTAAGCAAAATCTTTTTACCTGAAAATTTATTAAATGTTTATATATTAACTTTACGTCATTTATAGATTGTTAAATACTGAAGACGAATTCGTAAGTTTAATGTCCGCCAAAATCCTTACCTTATTAATTGTGTAAGAAATTTTAATTTTAATATTAATGTACGAATAATTTAATTGAGAGTTGATTGATTTTATAAATTTTTCTATTGTTTAGCTCAGCTCCAAAATCTCTTCCTTTTGATCTTGAAGAATTTTACCGCTGGATTACTTTGAAACTTAAGAGTAATAATCCTAATGTATGCGACCTTGCGGTTCAGATATTAGATTCAATTTTGAGAGTTCCTAGTTATCGTTTGAAGCTTTGGGAAGCTCCACAAGCCATAGACGCGTAATTAATTATCTATATATTATTTAATAATATATTAATTTACACGATAATACTAATTAACTGTTTCATTTCAGATTGGTTAATCTCCTTAAGGTCAGAAATCCCACACCTCAAATGCAATATCAAATAATTTTTTGTTTCTGGCTGTTGACGTTTGAACGAGCAGTATCATTGGATTTTAACAAGTAAATATGAGTTTTTATTGAAATTAATTATTCGTAACTTTTAATATCATTTATATATATATATATATATTTTTATTTTATGTAGAAAATACGATTTAATTCCTACATTGATCAATATTGCTAAAGGTGCCATTAAAGAAAAGATAATTCGTGTAATTATTGGGACATTTAAAGTAGGTAAAAATGTGTATTTGTTTTTTTCTTGTAAAGTTTTAACAAAACTTTTTATCTTTTAAGAATTTGGTTGATAAAGCTCCAGAAGCTAATTTGCCTGCAATGTTAGTTGCAAGATTATTAAATTTTTGTGAGAATTTATCGAGTCGAAAATGGTCTGATAATGAGATTGTTGAAGACATTGAGTTTTTGAAAGATCAACTTCAAGAAAATTTCCATAGTTTGTCGTAAGTACAATAGAAAATACTTCCTAATATAACAAAAATTAATTAGTTGACTTAATGAAAAATTATGATTTTAGAACTTTTGATGAATATGCATCAGAAATTTCTTCTGGTATGCTTCAATGGTCGCCACCACACGAATCCGATCAATTTTGGAAACAAAATGTTACAAAGTTAAATGATAAAGATTATGAATTGTTAAGGTATTTGAAATGATTATAATATTAGAAAAATTTATCAATAATAAGCAATTATCAACTTAGTATCTCCATTAAAATTTTTATTATAGAATTTTGGCAAGAATGCTTAGTCAATCTAGTGATAATGTTGTTCTTGCAATCGCTGCACATGATTTGGGACAATATGTAAAATATTATCCTAGTGGGAAAAAGTATGGATGATTTTATTTTATTTTTTGTTGAATCATTGTGTAAGTTTTTTTAAATTTTTATTTACTGTAATTTATCTAGGTTTTTACAAGAAATCGGTGCTAAACGAAGAATAATGGAACTCATGACACATGATGATCCAGAAGTTCGTTATAGAGCATTGATAGCGGTTCAAAAATATATGACACATGCATGGTAAGTGAATCTGATTTGTTTTAGTATTTTAATGTCTTTTTATCAATAATAATAATAATAATAATAATAATATATATATATATACAAATTAATAGGGTATAATGTAGTTTAGGACTTTTTGTTGTATTTCATTATAATATTATTATTTTAGATTATTGCAATTTCTTTTGTTTGGTTCATTTTGTTTTAGCAAATTATTTTTTTTTTTTTTTATCATTATAGAATAATTTATTTAAATATAATTATTTTGTGATTTCATAATTATTATGTACTAGTATATAATAATTTACTTCTTTTAAATATTAATAATATATCATCAAAATAATATCGCAAGTATGAAGAAATAATTTGTTGGATAATTGTTTAATTTTCGAATAACTGACCGTACAACCAAATTTAAATAAAATTCATATATATCATTTGCAATTCATAACTTTTATAATTATTTCTTTAATTCCTTTATTAAATATTATAGATATTAGTAAATTATAATCTAATAATTGGTTAATTATTAATTCTATTAAATATTAATAATAATAATTCTAATAATAATAATAATAATTTCAATACTACCTTATTGTTGATACAAGCAATCTATTTTAGTCTAATATAAACTCAATGTGAATTTAAAAATTAATATAGTAGAAATATATTACAGGAGAAATTAAATTATGTATATAGCTATATATATATATATATATATTTATTTAAAAAAAAAAAATAATTAATTAATTAAATAAAAAAGCTTTACCTAATCCTTCCTTCCACAAAAAAGTTTAAAAAATCATAGTTCGAAAAAGACTGTTTTGCAATCGCATTTTATAAATAAATAACGGGCTATATTCTATTAGTTCAATTATTAGGTAAAAGTTTAATACCCAAAGGGTCGATACTCGGTGCCGAATGTGATATAAATATGTGACTGTTAATTTAAATAATAGTGCATAATTATGAGTAATGACATCCTAGGATCTTTTAACTTTACAGTCCTTCTCTAATGATATAAGGTAGAGATAACTGTATTATTAATAATTTGTTTGCCAATAAATATTTGGACAAACAATTATCTGATCCTTTGATGGTGATTGCAAATGAGAGAATAATGTTGTAATCACAAGAAATAATCCGGTACTGTCCTTTTTGTTGGTGCACCGCGAATTTCCTAAGAAAAATTTTAAAATATAAAAAAATGACAAATCTCTAAAAAATCATATTACAAATAAAACATACCTGTGCTGCTGCCTCGAATATTTTATAATTTTTATTCAATTGATCATCTAACTCGAGAATCGCTGCTACATTCCCACACCTATAAAAATATATATATATATATATATTCTTTTTGTAAATAAAAAAGGGACAAATTTTTTATATAAAATTAAATAACTAACCTATAACAATAATTTGGTGCGGACCACACAGTAACTATTGTATCATTAAACATCAATTTATAACCCTCCATTACTAATTGATGGGCACGTGCAATTAATTCTAAATTATTAGTTTGTAAAAACTGTAAACAACGGGAGTAAGTAAAATGATATTTTAATATTTAGATTGTATATTATAAGATATCCTTACCACGTTAACAACATCGCCTCCAAATAAATAACCTGCTCCTCGAGGACTAAAACCCCAACCTTCAATGTCTGAATGTATAAAATAAATTCAGTATATATAATTAACATACTAAAAAAATTATAATTTATATTATTACCATCTGGATCAGACCATAGCAGGTCACACATAGCTCCATCATGTGGAACTTCCTGCTTCCTGTCAATCATACGAATCTAAAATTTGACAAATTACAAGACAGAATTTTATCAATATCTATTATTCTATGTTATTTTATTTTTAAAAAACGTTATTAAGAGATTTAAATGACCTGATCCACTGCAGTGATGGATGGTGATAATCCACCATGTACACAAAATATCTTATCTTCAATGATTGCGGATAAACTCATGTAATCGAAAATCTCACAGCAATGCCTCCATACATTGATTGAACCATATTTTCGAAGACATTCATCATAAAATCCGTATACTTGAGTGATCTGTCGTGATTCATGGTTACCACGTATCAATGTAATTCTATCTGGATATCTCACCTAAGTATAAAAAAAAAGAACTTAGTATAATAATTTCAATGAATTTTAAGAAAGAACCTCAACAAACCTTAAGTGCTAGAAGTAATAGAAATGTCTCTACACTGTAAAAACCACGATCTACAAAATCACCTAAACCACCAAATAATGAATAGGAATTAAAATCAAACGATTCAAGTATCAAGTTTATAAAAAATATATATATATATTTATTTAATTACCCAAAAAAAGATAATTTGTATCTGGACAATCTCCTCCAACCTTAAACAATTCCTTTAGGTCAAAAAACTGTCCATGTATATCGCCACATATCTAAACAATTAATTAAAAACTGTTAAAATTAGGAATAATTATATGGTTACCGCCGATTTCAACATACTGTAACAGGTGCGTCAACTCTTTGTACGTTACTTTCTTCTATCAGAACTTCTTTGGCCTTTCGACAAAGTTCTCTGACTTCAAGTTCTGAAATGAGTTCACAGTTTCGTAATTTTTCGATTTGCCTATCAAATAAAAAATCTGATCGGATTATTAAAATGAAAAGGTTTTAGCATTTAAAAAAAAATATTCTTTCTAACCTATCAAGATCACTTTGTCCCATAGCAAGATCGTGTTCTTTCCTTGAGCAGAAAGTCTCGACAAAGAAGCTTTGATAGAAAAAAAAGTTCTAATAAAAGATTGACTTTTAAATGGCTTTGTCAATTCAGAAAAAAATTATTGTATTGTTTTGGTTACCTATTTTTATCTCATGGTAGTACCAAAAGATACAACTGGAAGTTCAAGTTTTTATTAATTCTAAACATTTTTAGGAATGTTCTTTTATTACAAGTATTTCATATCTTGCTTATTTAAATAATATTTTATTCTTTGATTTCTGATCTACCATAAAGTTATCAAAGTTATCAGTACTTCTTTATAATCAGTTAATATTTTTTATATTAATAGATATAAAATGATTATTAAACTGATATCTGATAAAATTTAAATAATACTAATAAAGCTTATTATAATTAAGATTGCTAAATATAAAAAATAATAATTGTAAAATATAATAAAAAAAAAAATTATTAAAAGGTTATCAAAATTAAAAAATTTAGATTTTATAAAATATAAAATATTTTTTATTTTTAAAATTTTTTTTATATATTTATATAAAATTACTAATTTTATATATAAATCTAAAATTATATAACATAAATTTGTTTAACTTATATAAGTAATATAGGTGATTTGCAGTAAAAAGGAAGAAAACTGCCAAAAAAATTTTTTATTTTATAAATTAAATGATTTTTTAATAAAATAAATTCAGATTTAATATTAACTTAAAAATTTTTTTTTGATATTTTTTACTATAAAAAGCTATATAAGTTTTATATAAATCTATATCTATAAAATTTTAATATTAATTACAAGTTTTTTATAATTCTAAATTTTACTTTTTTTTTAAAAAAAAAGTAAATTTAATACTATTAATATTAATTTTTAATAAAAATAATCTTTTTAATATTATTAACAAGTATTAATTTTTTAATATAATATAAAAACTTTAATTTTTTAATAAAATATAAAAACTTTAATTTTAATAATATAATAATTATAAAATATTTATATTTTATTAATTTATTAAAAGTTATTTTAAGTTTATTAAAAATAATTTTTTTCTAAAAAATTATAAGTTTACAAATTACTTAAATTATTTTATTACTATTAAAATCATAAATTTCTTAATAAATAAAAATAAGAAAAGCTCCATTTTTGAAATTTCAATATTTATAATTTTTAATATAATATTTTGAACATTTTTTAATAGAAAAAGCTAAAAAAAAAAATAAATTTTATTATTTAATTAAAAATAAAAAATAATATAATTTAATATAAAATTATTATATATAAATGTTTTTTGTAATACTTTTCCTCTGTAAAAATATTTTTTGATTAGTTCAGAAATCTCTAATGATACATATAATGATTTACTATTTATAAAAATCATCTTTTTAAATTTAAAAGTTATCACAAAAAACTTGTAATAATTATAAAAAATTAAACTTTTTTACATCTAAAATTATAAAAAATATTATTACAGTAGCGGTCATAAGTATCCGATCGCCTGAAATCGTCTAAAATTATTATATAACTACCCCTTAAATTTTCCAGAAATATAATATAACACAATACATGATCACCTGTAA